CCGCTGAGATCGCGGCGCCGGAGGCCGGGGCCCGCCGCCGGGGGCGCCGCGGGAATCGTGCCCCAGCGTCCGCCGCGTTCCGTGGCTGGGGGTCGGGGCCCTGGGAGCGTTTCTCTTCGTTTTTGTCGTCTCCCGTCTGGAAGGCGGGACGAGGAGGCTGTGCGCCTCCGCCACTGCAGTCCCTTCCCCTGCCACCCGGACCGGCCCCGCGGTGCCCCTGCCCCGCCGCGGGGATGGCCCGCAGGTGACCGCCGCCCGCGCGCCCGCTGCCCTCCCCGGCCCGACGGCTCTCCTCTCCCCGCTCCACCTTCCGGGCTCTCGGGCACGAGAGAGGAGACACGCCAGGGAAGATGTGGCTGAAGCTTTTTTTCTTGCTCCTGTATTTTCTGATCCTGTTTGTCCTGGCCAGGTTTTTTGAGGCCATTGTGTGGTATGAGACCGGCATCTTTGCCACCCAGCTGGTGGATCCGGTGGCGCTGAGCTTCAAGAAGCTGAAGACCATTCTGGAGTGCCGGGGCCTGGGCTACTCGGGGCTGCCCGAGAAGAAGGATGTCCGGGAGCTGGTGGAGAAGTCAGGCGAGTGCCGGGCTCCCCGGGTGCCTCCCAAGTGGGCACGGGGGCGATCTGTACCTGCGCGCACCTTGCTCCGCCTGCAGAAAGACGTGTCTGCAAGATTAAGCAGACTGCGAGAAGCTGCCCCGGGGGTTTTGGTTTCGGCTTTCGCTTTGCTTTGCTTTGCTTTGCTTTGTCCAGGTATTTTTTGAAGTACTTAAACTGTAGTAGCTTTGAGAGGGGCCCTGAAATTATTTGTCAGAAATGTCGGTATGTCTTTTTAATGTAATTTTTAAATGACAGTTTGAAAGTGTAGCTTTTCAGCGTAGTTCACTACATTGAGGGATTTTTCTCAAAATTTGGGAAAGCCAGACTGGAAAGCATTGTATATCAGTTGAAATTCATAAAAACACAGGAGAAATACTCCAAAACGTAGTCTACTTAGCCATGATTGTCACTATAGGAATAACAAGCTGCTCGCCGGGGAAAAACATTAGAATACTCAATACCAAAGAGACTTTTGGGCCAGAGAGTTTTAAGTTTGGGTAGGGTGTACACTGTACAGTATTCACTTTGGTGAAAATAGTTGTCTTGATGTGAATGCCTGCCTTGTTTATTTTGAGCTTTTATTTGTCGATTGAAATTTTTTTGTATTTTGAATGTAAACTTTGGTCATGTGTCATAGGCACCCTGTATCAGTTAATGGTTTGAGGGATGAATAGGATTGAAATAGCGCTCTGACTATGTGTAATGCCTTGAAAAAATGTATTTACAGTAACTTGGTTTGGAGTAAGTGGGTGAGAAGTACAATTTTTTATACTGCTGGACAAAGTGTGTCTTTGTTTAGATGTACTTCCTGAAGGAAGAATGTAATTTGAGAAAGGCATTATGGGTTGCTGTAAGAAGCGGTTCAAACTGATCGTTTTTGTTGTTTCGATTCTGTTAGCCTTGTCTTTTACAAGACCATTTTTTTCCTTCTTTAGTACCCTATAGCAATATAGTGTCATAGACAAGGAAAACTCCAGCAGTTTAAAACTTGCCCATTTGTAGCTTAAGGGTTATAACACTCATATCTTACTACTAAGGTGAAAAGGAGCGCTTTCTGCAAAAGTGATACTTTTTTCTTTACAGAAAATGTGAAATCATGTATTATTCTTGCCCCTTGTGTGCTGCCTGGTTTATGGTGACTTTTAGTTCCACCACACGTGGGAAAATGGAGTAGCTAAAGTAAAAAAGATCTCTAATAAAAAAGCTCTCTAGGTTTAGAAATGAGAAGTGTCTTACCTTTGAAAGCCAAGTCATTTTTCATAGTAGAACGATTTTATCACACTTTTTTGGGGGAGGCGTGGAGGGTTTTGAGACAGAGTCTTCCAGTGTTTTTCAAGGTGGCCTTGAATTTACTGTGTAGCCCAGGCTAGCCTCCAACTCCAGGCAGTCTTCCTGCCTCAGCCTTCAAGTGGTGGGATTACAGGCATCACCCATCATGCCTAGCTCACATTTTTTTCTTTTAAATTTGTCCTGTGTCCTATTGCCTTCCTTTTAGCTTAAAAAATACTTGTCATACTGAATGTACCAGTAGTCCACATAAAATCAAAGAGTATACACACCCCACAAAAATATGGCTTAGATCAGCTATTGTATAGCAGAAAGCGTAGATATAGCAATTTATCTGTAAAATTTATTTGTTGTGAATGGTTTTGCTGTTACAGTGGTACAGTGCAGAACTCAATGGTACAATAGCAAAATTGAAAATAATGTGACGCGGATACAAACTCTTTGCTATAAATCAGTGTATTGAGAATGGTGTTTATTTTGAAAAAGTTCTAACCTCCAAGTGGTACAAACCTTGTTGCTATTTTAAGTTCTTTTAACCCATTTTTAAATCTTTTAACATCAGAACCTAAAAACCATATTATTTATTTGGGTTTTTTTGTGGGGGGGTTCTTTTTGAGACAGGGTCTTGCTATGCAGTTCAGGCTGGCCTTGAGCTCACTTGGTAGCCGAGGCTGGTCTCGAACTCCTGCGTCAGCTTTGTGAGTGCTGGTATTACAGGTGTGTGCCACCATGCCCAGCTAAACCATATTGTTTAAAAGATCATGTGAAATTTGAACTTGTCATACATAAAACTGAATAATTAAATGTTGAACGTAGTTGTACTTGCCCAGTTACTCAGGAGGCAGAGGCAGGAGGACCCCAAATTAAAGGCTAGCCTGGGCAAGTTAGTGAAAGCCTGTCTTAAAAAAAAAGAAAAACATTCCCGAGTGTGGTGGCACACCTCTTAATATCAACACTGAGGAGGGTAAGGCAGGAGGATCCCAAGTTAAAGGGGAATCTGAGGTACAGAGGACTTGCCTGGATTACATATTGAGGCCCTGTCTCAAAAAGTGAAAAAAGAGGGGCTGGGGATTTAGCTCAGTGGCAAAGCGCCTGCCTGGCAAGCGCAAGGCCGTGAGTTCGGTTCCCGGTACCGGAGAAAAACCAAAAAAAAAAAAAAAAGTGAAAAAAGGGCTGGGGATGTACTCAGTGCCAAGGCCCTGGATTCAATCTCCAGTAACCTCCCTTGGACAACCAGAGCCTCCCCCAAGTAAAAAGGGCTGAGGAGGTAGCTCAAAGTTCCCTCAGGAGCATTAAAAAATAAAAGAACAAAAACTAATTAATATTATGGCTTTTTGGACTGCTACAAATTCAATAATTTTTATTAAATTATGTGATGGCTGGGAGTGGTGGCATACATCTGTAGTCCCAGCACTTGGGAGGCTGAGGTGGGAGGATCGCTACAAGTTGAGGATCGCTACACAGTAAGTTCAAGGCTAGCCTGAATTACATAGTGTGACCCTGTTTCAAGAAAAAAAAATTATGTGATATCCTTACTAGAATATAAGGTCTATATTCTGAGTTGCATTCTTGCCTTTTTTTTTTTTTTAATGTTTGCCTATCACATAGTAGGTTCTTACATATTTATTGAGTGTATAAATCTTAAATGAGTGTATTGTAGTGCTCTTTATAGAGTGGAATAACATGATTCTTTATGGTATAAAATGGAGTTAATCATTCAGGTTTGGAGCATGAGATTTTTAAAAATCTTACATGTTTTTTCCTGTCTTCAGGTGACTTGATGGAAGGGGAGCTCTATTCAGCTCTCAAGGAAGAAGAGGCGTCTGAATCTGTTTCTAGCACCAATTTCAGTGGCGAAATGCACTTCTATGAGCTTGTAGAAGACACAAAAGATGGCATTTGGCTAGTTCAGGTATCAGAAACTGATTGTTCTTGATAACTTGAGAACCTTTAAAAGAAATTACTTTTACCCAAATAGTATCTGGGTGGTGACCATTCTGTGTACTTGTGTCATGTTTCTTAGGCATAACTCAGTTCTGAGCGGAAGAGTCTAACGTCTTCCTAAGGAGGTTTTCGCAGACCAAGATAAACAGATATTCAAGAGTGGAAAAGGGAAAGTTGCGAAAAAGGGAATGACTTTTTTTATTTAGAATCAGCAGAAACAAATCCATTTCAGTTGTGGGATCTACATTTGTGTGAGAAACATACTCGTATTCCTTTTGTTTAGTGATATGCACTGTTTCTGTCAGTTTTTAACTAGTTTTGAGTTCGGCAGCTCAAATAATTTTTGTGCCTAAGAGGAAAAACCTAAAATAAAAGTAAGGGAGTCTGTGTATTCAATAAATAACCAACTTTGTCTGTAGGGGCGGAGCTATTGTGGACAGGGGTAGGAAGTGCCCATTATTTTGCTTATGACTGAAATAATTTTTGACGAGTTCTTATACCAAAACTGATTTAAGTAGTATATTAGAATTTTAGAGCCATAAAGGCCCTTAAAAATTACCTTTTGTGAAAAAAAAAAAAAAAATTACCTTTTGTGCTTCTCGAAATATGGTCTCTGGTGAATGAGTAGGCACACATTATCAGTATATTCTAATGTAAATTAAAATCATGTATACTGTATTATATCGAACATGTCATTTTCTAAATATTGCTTAAGAAAGTTAGTTATTTAAATTTTTTTTAATTTTAAAAATAAAAGGAGGAAAATACTAACAGACAGACAGACAGATTTTTACAAAATAGCAAAGGATCAGTACAGACAGTACAGAGTTGGAAACAGTGTGGTAGGGAATTAACAATGCTTGTTGTATTACATATTGATATCTTCAAAGTGGTTTCTCATGAAGTTATTTAAATTTTTTAAATGTAGTTTCACTTTTTTCTTTTCTTGAGACAGAGTCTTAATATGTAGTTCAAGCTGGACTCGAGCTGGCAGCAATCCCCCTGCCTCAGCCTCCCAAGTGCCAGGATTACAGGCGTGCACCATGAAGCCTGGCTAAAATGTGGTTTCACTTAAAGTAACATATCAAGTTAACAGCATGAATGTGGCTAAAATTAAGAACATGGTGTGTGAACAGGTGAAGTTTGGGAGTCATATCAATCTAACCCTTTCTAGGGTGCTGAGAGGTGATATAGCTTGCCATAGGCCATGGGTACAATTGGTAATATTGAACTAGGATAATAACCTAGGTCCCTTGATTTTTTTTTTTTTTTTTTTTTGTCCAGTGCGCTGATTATTTCACTCAAAGACAGACAAAAGTTGACTTAGGGTATGAAAATTAAAATAGCTTCTTTGTATTTCTTTCTGAGAACAAGGACTAAAAAAATAGGTTTTTGAAAACTTCGAGTTCCAAGACCTTAGTTGAAGGCCTGGCACTTTCACTGATTTGCAGTGTGATTTTGAATAGATAGGTTTTCAGTTGCACTTGGCCTGAAATAAATACATCTACACCTAAGGAAGATGAAATAATCCTGTAGTCCACTATGTATGTGGGTTGAGGTTGGGGAATTCTCATGGAGCTTGCCTTAAATATCAGTGGTCTTTCCTTTATTGTAACCTTCCTACCATGTTTGAATTTTACCCTCCAGAAAATCTAATTCAGTAATTTTTAAGTTTGGGAAAGGGAGAACTCGTGTTTGTATGGGTGTAGTCTATTCATTATCCGTTCAAATTTTGGTTTATTTCTGTTAATTGGTATTGAAAAATAAGCTGTAGCTTCTTTAAAACTTTAATTTCCAAACTAATTGTTCCATTTCTTTCCTCTGGAATTTATTTCTAATAGTCTGGTCAAGAAATACCTATAATTTTAATTACTGAGATTGAGTTCAGTAGCCCGTGCTGGAACTCTGTGTTCATATATCTAAATGTCTGTGCCCACATGATTCACCCCGTGGAAACACAGGTAAAGATGCATCTTGAAACTTGGAAGAGACGTGTCAAAAGCCCAGGAATTCTTTCATACATACGATGCTGACTGAGATTAGAAACATTGAGGGTGACTAGTTAATAATGTATTCTTGGCTAACAGCCTGTTTTTAATGTCTTATTAAAGCTATCCATGGATTAAACTCATGTAACATGTGACAAAATTAATAGTTTATTCAGTAAATATGGGTGTGCCAGGCCCTGTTCTGGGCCTTGGCGGTGTACCGGGAACAAACACCGGGCTTAGTACTTGTTCTCTTAGGCAGCTCACGTTCCAGCTGGGAGATGCAGACACCAAAGAAATGAATATTTGATATAATATCACTTAGTGGAGTGTGCTAAGAAGCAAAATGAACAGGATGAGGAGACGGAGAATGGCAAGGAATTCTCTTGTAAGGTGATACTTGTTGAAGGAAGTAAGGAAGACGTAAGCATGAATGTTAGCGTTATAAATTGTAGTCTCTAAATTGTATTTCTTTGAAAGTGTTTTTAAATCTCATAGGTTGAAAGACACCTAAGAAAAAATAGAATGTATTCATTTGGTTTTCCGTGTGTGAGAAAGACATAGGACGCATACTTCATTTTCCCAGTGACCCTTAAGGTTCACCCGCATCACCACCAGCTGGATTGTGTCCCCTGAGGCCAGCGGCTTTCCATCTGCCAAGTGGCCGGTGTGGGCTGCAAGAACAGTCCCTAGCAGGACAGCTGAGCAGAGGGAGACTGAAACCCTGCCCTTGGCTCTGTGAACTCACTAGCTAAGCTGATCAGCACAGATACCTGGTTTAAGCACTAGAATTGTTTTTGTGTTTTGGGTTAAAACTATATTTAAAATTGAAAATATCTGTTTGAAACAGAAGAGAAATATTCTGACTGTTGTTCTTTCAGCTTAGATTATATTAGTCTAATCTATTGTAAAGGGTAACTTTCAAGAATTCAATTTTTAATAATTTGAATGATTCTTTTTATTTTATAGTACTGGAGAGTGATCCCAGGGCTTTCACAGTGAGCTACATCCTCAGTCCTTTTTTATTGTTTATTTGAGACAGGGTCTTGCTAAGTTGCTAAGGAACCCGGGCTGGGCTTGAACTTGCCATCCTCCTGCCTCAGAGTGCTGAGATTACAAGTGTGCGCCAGCATGCTCAGCTGTTCTTCATTTTAAAATAAACTAATTTGTTTTCCTTCTCTCTAAGAGGAGTGATGCCAATTCAGCCTTTAAATTGCCAGGCTTTCCCACGTCTCCTGTATTCTTCACTGTGTGAGGTGAACCGAACTGCTTTCAGTTTCTGAGGTAGCAGCATACATGGGACATTTTTGCCAGTAAAGAACACTATGTAATCCATGAAGAACCCAATTTTTTTTCCTAACAGTTCTTTCTGACATTCTGAGTTTTCCTTCTGTGTTCTAATATAACGGTTTACCTTTCATTAGTTATTTATTTTAAGGTTTTGTAGGTTCTTTGATTCTGCTGCTACCTGTCTTCTTGGCGTCATGTATCGAAGACTTGGACAGAGAGGGAGATGCACAGCTGATAGGCTTCTGTAATGGGAAAGTTAGCATAATTTGTGGATTTTACGGATTTATTCTCTTAACATTTCTATTTCTCTGTTTTGATTGTGAAAAAGAGAGTGTGTGCACGCGCACGTGTGCACACATACATCTCTGGTTGTGGGGATTGAACCCAGGGCCTCACACTTGCCTGGCAAGTGCCCTAACACTGAGCTACATCCCCAGCACTGTTCGGACTGTTAGCTTAATTCATGGCGGACACGTTTGTTCCCTACCAGCTGTAATAAGGAATCTAAAGTGACTGGAATTGAGGTAACAGGGAAAAGCACTATAAAGTCCTGGAAAACTTTGGTCAGTATTTGCTGAAATATTACGTTAATGCAATTACTATTTGGCTGATACTATTAATGGCTGACTTTAAACTTACCTTTTTGCTTAGACTGTGGTTTTGTTAGGGCAACTCCAATTTATTTCTTTTTTACTGCTACTCTAGAGGCAAAAAGCATGGCAAGCCACTTTATCTGTTATAAAAGTTTTAGTGAAAAACTTTGTATTTAGTTAAGAAGTAAGCCAGTGAGAATACTAGAATACTAAAAATTAAAATGTTTATTTTGCCAGTCACTCATCCCCATTTTTAATGATTTTATACAGTTTGCATGTGTATATTTAAGTCGTCCACAGTTTCGAAAATAGACTCCTGTTAAAATTAAATATTGAGAAGTGCAGAAAATATAGCACAACACTCCTTTTGTTCCCACTGCTATTTAATTAAGCCTCACTAACATCGCGTGGGATTAACAGTGTTAAAAGGGATATGCCAAATGTTCTGATTAGGAATAAACTCCACTTCTAAGAAGTGCCAAAGTGCATTTTTAAATGCACTGAATGGGGTGTGTTTATGGCTCATTGGGGTCAGGAACACTAACGTGCAGTTGTACAGCAAAATACTGTTTTACACTAGTGTTGTCCAGAAAATACTCTAGATGACAGTTTGCTAAAGAAGGGACTTTTGTTATAATGAAATAAAAAAGGTAGAGTCTTTCCTTTAGGGATTCTTTGAGATCCAAAGTAACAGGAATGAGCTACTAAATTGTAAAAAGCTGAAATAGTTTAATTATCTATTGAACACCTAGATGAGATGAGCGAGGTACCGCATTAGCTGCAAAGAGTACAACGGTGAGCCAGTATGGGAATGCCAGGTAGAGCGGCGGACACCCTGGGAAAGGGAACGGAAAGATTGCTTCACTTCTAGCCTGTCTTGCCAAGTCTGTTCCAGGCCTGGAACTGGAGCTCCACTTCCATCCAGTTCTTTTCTAGTCTGAAACTATTCTCCACAGAAGGAAGCCTCCTTCCCAAACCAGCAAGGATGGTGCCCCCTTTAATGAGACCAGCAGTGAGGATGCTACTCAGAATGGTGCTTGCCTTTAAAATACAAGCTATACGTCTGGGGCTCTAGTAGTGTGACACAGGCTTTGTGTATTTTATTCTGCCATGTGACTCAGCCAGATGAGTTATTTTGTGAAAATACTGACATTTTTATAGTGGCCATTTAATTAAACCTCTACCAAAATTAATTTATGCTAGACCATCAGGTGAGTCTCATAACTGTGTAGGACATTGGACAAAGCAATTTCTAGTTGCATAAACTATTGAGTCATATTAAATGCTTTCATGTAATGCCCAGGTGGTTTTTCACTTTAGTGCAGCTCTCAGTCAGGGATCCTTAAACTCTTCAAAAGCAGAAGGTAGGACAGACTACTGAGTAAACAAGACCGGGGAACTGAACATGGGCGCGCACCTGCTCCGGAGATGCTCACCGCTCTCTTCACTCAGTCCTCCTGTCTTTGCCAAAGCCAGGATGGGCCTAGAAACAGCCTGCTCTCATTCGTCCTCCCTTTTCTAATATTAGAGCGCTTATGAGTCTAAAATACACCTGTGCAGTGAACAGGATCTTCGCTGAAAGACACCCCAAGACTTAGGGCCCTGATTACACTGACGGACATCTCTTAACTCCTTGAAGCAGTTGTCAGACACAGACCCGAAATGTTTGGGTTATTTGCATTGTGCTCAAATAGTGGAAAAATAATCTGAAAAAAGTTCTTGAGAAGTAAAAAGGACAGAGAGCAGGGAGTGTGGTGATAAGACGGCACCAGGACTTACTAATCTCCCAAGGACTCTGAAAAGTAAGGTCAAGATTTCTTTAATAACGTGACCAAAAGAAGAACGACCATATTGACTCTGCTGTGGCAGCAGGGGGAAAGGACAAGACAGCCTGCCCTGCTCGGTCTCCCTGATTCTCGGTAACCCTCACACCTTCGGACCACAGGAAAATGTAAAAGCCAGAGTCTTACTGGGTAGTGTAAGCTGTGTGAACCTCTTCAAAAGGAGCTTTCTACTAAGATTTTTTCATCTCAAACTGCCTTCCTGGTTATCTCAGCTATCTGAATATTTTTGTAAGGACTCATAGCTCCCTCAGTAAGACCACTTCTTTTCATTAAAAAGTACTGTCAGAACCATTTGCTTAGTTGGTTGCTCTAAATTGAGTGTACATGCAGTTATAAGATGCAACATTTGCATGTATGCCTCTGTAAGTATGAGGATGGTACCAGCATATAGCAAGGGTTACTGAAGACAGTTATCTGTGACCGCATAAAATGAACTTAAAGTCACTTGGCCCTGGCCATGTGCCTGCTATGTGCCTGCTACCTCTGACTTTCCTCAGACTTCCCAACTCAGAGGCTGCATACAAGGTAGCATCCTCCCCTCTTGCAGGGAGTTGACTCTTGGCATTCATTCCACAAACCCATCTGGAACATTATTTCCTGAGGCTTTGTGAATATAAAAATAGTCCTTCCTGCCAGAAAGATCAGGGCCCTCAGAGTATTGTAATTTTAGATTGAATAGCACTGTATCAGTAATACAGCATTTATGAAAATAAACTTGGCCTGTAAACCCTGGACTTAAAATATCAGATAGCTTCATGGTGACTTTAGACATTTTTGGTTTTCCTTGAAATGCCATTAGTTATTTTTGTGTTTTTGTTTTTAATATTTACTAGATTTTGTTTTTAAAGGGTGAAAGATTTATACGATCTGGAGAAACCAGAGTATGATTTTGTTTTTAATATTTTACTAGAGTCTTCACTGAAATTTTTCTTCTTTTCAGAGCAGGAAGATTAGGGGATAAAGGGAGAAAAAGGTATTAAACTATTAGAACAGATGACAGTGATAGTTGAAGTTGTTACATGTGTATTTTGAAGATCAGTTTTTCTTAAATTGAGTTTATTGGTACATTTTAGGTATACATAATCACATTTATCATAGGTAGTTTGTACCTATACATAATACATCTTGATTCTTTTTTTTCCTCTTCCCCTGCTGTCTGTTCTACCCCTCTTCCCCTCCTCATTTATAAAAGCTTTTTTCCATTTTTTCTGAAGGTCAGTTTAGAATTTTTTCCTTTTTTTGAAAAATCTGTTCTCCTAGTCCTGTGTTTGAAAGCTATTTGCAAATTTGAAGTAAAGGCTCAAGAATGTAAAATTATTATGATTGTTATTTTTATTTGTTAGAATCTTTCATGACTGTAAAGGAAAAAGCCATAGCAGTAGTAGTATTGATTTAGTCAAAGTATAGCTTAATAGAAAACATTTTTGACCCTTGACTTCATAATTATGCTTTTAAGAAAAATGAAATTTGAACTCTTGAGAATTTTTCATGAGCTTTATTTGGATTATTGTTTACAGTTTTCTTTTCAGAGCAAAGAGAAATGACTCTTAAGAGCCATTTTCTTCCTGTGCAACTTAATTCTAGAGAAAAGGCCACATGTTCGAGAACATAGCTTGTTTTTTTTTTAATTGTGATTTCCCTTGTTTTTGTAACTGCCAGAGTATGGGAGTTTCTTGTGCTGTATTTGGTGTTTGAAGACTTTAGTTGGACAGTTGCCCCTTCTGTAATATTGAAATAATAATATGGTATAGTAACAACTGGAAACAATATCTTTTTCAAAAAAGTAAAATTAAACTATGAATATATGTGGTTGGTAATTAAAGTTTCTTTTTTTATTTTCTTTTTGGGAGATAGGTCATAGCAAATGACAGAAGTCCTTTGGTGGGAAAAATTCACTGGGAGAAAATGGTTAAAAAAGTGTCAAGATTTGGAATACGCACAGGCACTTTTAACTGTTCCAGTGATCCCAGGTAAGTGGATTGGACAATTGTTAGAACTTGAGTCTTGATCAGAATCCTTCTTGTTGAATAAAGAGTGTGATATTAGAAGCCTGCTTGAACTAAATGCAAATCATAATGTTCAGCACACTGTTACTTATGCAGGTGCTTGATCAATCATTTTTATTAAACTAGCATTTCTTGGCTTTCTGAGATCTCTTTCTCTCTGGCTCTTCTGTGTTCTTTCTTTGTGGGATGTCTTGTAAGAGTATCCTCAGTCTTTTTTCTTTTTTGTGTCAGTATTTTCCAGACAGCTCTAGTCACTGCTGATCTAAATCTTTTCTGGTACTTCTGACCTCTGGTTTGCATTCCCTTGCTCATGTCCGTCTAACCCTCAGCTGTCTCTGCATATGTCTTTCTTCCTAAAATCTAATTCCCCAGATCACATTCATCCTGTTTTCTTTAATCCCATATTTGTGCTTGAGATCTTTTTTACTGCCTTTTACTGTTTTAAGTTTTATTTCTTTACCCATTTTCTTAGACAAAAATCCTTGAAGGCATTTTTGTTTCTTTGCACTTCAGTATCCAGTCTGTCACATTATTTTTTGTTTTATTATTCCATTACTTCTTTGAAATGCTTTTTTTATTGTCATTCCTAATACCACCAAATTATAACTTACACTGTGTTATCCACTGAGTTATCCATTTGGTGAATATTTAACAGAAAATGAGCACATTGGGCATGTTTTGTTTCATGCAGAGAAGACATACGACATATGTAAAAAACCATATGTCTCAGGCGGGTGTAGTGGCACTTGTCTATAATCCCAGCACTCAGGAGGCTGAGGCATAAGGTTTGCTGCAATAACTTATTTCCATCCTTCATTTCCCAGTGAACTTACCCTTGAATCTGTTATCCTCAGATCAAGTTTTGGTGGAAGATCTTTTATTCCCCACTGATGGTATTATAATACAAAAACAAATAATAGCAGTGATACTTGGATATTTTTTCAGGTCAAGCTAAAAGTCAGTATCAATATTACTGTTTTACTGAAATATATTCAGGCTTTATTTTTTAAAAATCAAGGAGACTAATACATTTCAAGCACTAAAGTTTATAAATATATTAGGAAATGCCAAAAACAGATTTTAAAAATGCAAAAGTTAAACATATTATAGTCTAATACACTGTAATTGTTAGATAACAGTAAAGAATTAAATACAACAGAAAATGAAGATAATCTTCTAACGTGGAAAAATGAAATAGATGTTTTAGTGTAATCTTATAAAACAGTATATCAGAACTGTCATCATTAAGTAGATTTTAATGCAGATTTTTCTAGCTTTTATTTTGAAAAACTGTTTTTGTACTAGCTGAGGAATGGAAAAGAGATACATACATGCTACCTCCAAATATGTTTCTCAAAATTGTTCGGCTTGAAATAATTCCACTTCTTATTTATTGGTTAAGAAGTCTTTTTTGAAGCTGGGTATGGGGGCACATGCCTGTAATCCCAGCATTCAAGAGGCTGAGGCAGGAAGTTCGAGGCCCCATGAGTTCGAGGCCAGCTTGGGCTACATAGTTCAAGACCAACCTAAACTACATAGTGACACTTTTTTTTGCAGGGGAGAGGTGGGGGTTCCAGGAATTGAATTCCTGACCTTGTGCTTGCCAGGCAGGCGCTTGTACCCCTGAGCTATATCCCTGGCCCAGCAACACTCTTATCTTTAAAAAAACAACAAAACATCTTTTTAAAGTAATGTTTTGTTCTTACTGTTAATTGTAGTTATAATTCTTTGTTATTAAAAAAAAACACCTGCACTGGGGGTGTAGTTCAGCAGCAGAGTGCTTGTCTAGCATGCATGGGACCCTGGGTTCCACCCCCAACACTACAGGAAACGAAGCTCTTCTTGTTTCCTTCAGTTTCATCACAAAGGTGATTTTGGTGTACAGTGACTGTGAGTCACTTTCAATATTGTTGTGTTCCTGTTTCCTCTTTTGGAGAGCCTCCCAACTAGAGTATGAACTGTTCTTGCCATCAAATCGGTGCTTAGTCAGGGTTATTTTTTGTTTTTTTTCTTTTAATGACTAGATATAGACAAACAAAATGCAAAGGCAGGGAGAAAAGTATTCAAAATTTCGATGAAGGTGTAACTGCACAAAGAACAGTGTCATTCAGGAAGTGATATTTAAAAATTGAATCATTTTCTTGTTGTCAGGTTTTTTAAGAACGCCAAAACCTTGTCATCTGTGGGCCACGCTGCTTTCTTTCGCTGTAGTCTCTTTTGGGTGCTTTCCTGCTTTCCGATGTGTCACTCCACTGAGAACGTTCAGGATCACTATTTCTGGGCAGCTTCTGACCCAGGACAGGGGTAGCAGTTTTAATTTCTTTCCCAGTGCTCCCAGCAGGGTGGCATCGCTTGGCTCTCACACTTACTCCTCAACCAAGAGATCTGTTTCAGAGGGCTTTTCTTGCCAGGTCCACAGTCTGCTCTTTTTCTGGAGAAAGTAGGAGGTGAGGTGGTATTTATATGTGTGTGTGCAGACAGGGGTTGTTAAGAGAAGACTGAGAGTATGGGAATTGTAAGAGCTGAGAGGAAGGCAAGGGTTAGACTGATTTATGGTAAGAATGACAGGTTGTGAGGGGCCATGGAATAAACAGGAAAGCTACAGAGGCGAATGAAATGGCATTACCTAAACAGACGCCAAGGTAACTTTTTAAATCTCACTTGCCACACCAGAAACTGAAATACCAAGATGCACTAGCCGTATTTCTTAGCTTTTTAAAACTTTTCGTGGATCTCAGAAGGTCTCTAAGAGCTCAGTAGGTTTACTTTTAGGAACTAGAGAATGAAAAAAAAGAACTAGAGAATATTTTCATGATGTTTTCATTAATTGAGTCTTCAAAAAATTCTTTTTTGAATTGTCATTAAAAGTTGTTATATTGATGTAAAGTAATATAACATTCTTGGAAAATATTACATTTAGTCCTCATTTTTGTTGAACAGTGGAAATTAAGGTTAATATGGTAGCCGAGTGTGGTGGTGCATGCCTGTAATACCAAAACTCAGGAGGCTGAGGCAGGAGGATCACCACAAGTTTGAGGCTAGCCTGGGCTACATAGACCCTGTTTGGGGAGGGTGGAAATTAGTATGTTAAAAAAAATTAGCATGTCATACTATATTTGTGTTTTGGATTTCTTTGGATCCGTGTTTAGATAAATATATATTAGTAACGGTGTTTATGAGAGGTTTCTTTGCAAATCTTGGAAATAAAATTTAATTTGAAAGATGCATGATGCCATAAATAGAAGTAAGACATTTATTTATATGCATTTGACCTATTGCTTTTTTCTGGTGAGGATAAAAATAGAATTCATATCAGTGAATTGTTTGTGTTGGACAAATGTAGTGTAAAAGGATTTGAAGATTCTGTATTTTTTAGAACTATATATTTTTCAAATCATTTAGTTGAAACAAGATTGATGTTAATGGAATATATCTTGCTAAGGGAGTGAATTTATTCAACAAAAAACGAAGAGTTGAGTCTGTGATTCTGAGTCACTAGATAGTTTCCCAGGTTATTACTAGCCTTATCCTTGAGATGTAACACATTCATTTATCTTAAATTATGCCACAAAATCTGTAAGATAAAATTAGTAATGTTCCACAAAACATTATACCACATATGTCAAGACTTTCCTGTCTGATCATATGAATGTATAATGTGCTAATTTAATTTTATAAAAATATAGTCTGTGCTTATTAAGTATAACATGTATGAATTTTACATCAGTATTGTGAATTAAGAAATCAGACATTACTATTCATTTACAAATTTGTATACACATGGTAGGTTTTCTGTTTTATAACTTTATTGAGGTAAATTTTATATACCATAAAATTCCACATGGTAGGTTTGGGAAAAGAACATTTATTTTAAAGCAAAGATAGTTACCATAACAAATATCTCCAGGGTAGTACAAATAGTTGTTTTCATTTTTTGGTATTTTTCATCACCTGATTCTTTAGAAGGAGATGGCTATTTCAAATCTCATAGCAAGAACCTATCCATTTCCAGAATGACTAGTGTCATGGTCCTACTGAATAAATCTAAACAAATGACTTAGTTAAGTTAAATTTTAGTTAACTAACTTAGTTAACTAAAAGTTACTTTTCAGTTAAATTTTATTTAGTTAATTAAATTTTAGTTAAGTTCTACATACTCTGCTATAAAATGAGGATCATTTTTGGGCTGAATACTTTGTTTCTTCTTCATGGTCTTCATTGAAAAGAGAATATGAAATAATGGGACTTGTGGACCTCTTTTCTGGGTTGGTGTTTGTGCAGATTGTTTGAAACAGTGCTTGATTGTCAGGCATTGTGGTAGATGCTTGAGTTATGAGTTAGCTTTTTATCACTGTGACCAAATGTCTACATAATCACCTTAAAGAAAGAAAGGTTTACGGTGTCAAAGGGTTCAGTTCATGGTTAGCTGGCTCCAAAACAGAAATATCATAGCAGGCAAACATGGTAGCCAGGAAGAAGAGTAGGAGGGAAAGAGCCAAAGAGAAAGGAAGGAGCTAGAGACAAGATAGATCCTTCAAAGGCATGACCCTAGTGGCCTGATTGTTCCAGCTGGGCCTCAGTTCCTAATAAACCTATTCAGCTGTGAATTCCTCATAGAATTAACCCATTGATGAGGTCACCATCCTTATGATCCAGTCACCTTTGTAAGCCCCACCTCTGAGCATTGTTGCATTGCCCAAAACATTGGTCTTTGGGAGACACTGTATTTAAACTATAATAGTTAATAAATGGTAGGGCATGTCATGTACCCTCAAGGATCTTGCACCAATTCAGGGATTCAACTTGTAGGATAACCTATTTGTTTCCCTGTTCTCTGCCTATCTGAATTTTAGCCATCCTTCAAGATGTAAACCTTTCGTGAAGATTTTACCTGCTCAAATTCCAAATGTTCCCTTCCTTTGAACTTCTTTTGCATTATTTAGAAATGAAATATATAATTTTATATTTGTTTTGTCTTTTTAGTGGGATTTTAAATTTCTTGTGAGAAGAAATTATCTTCTCTTTATTTTATTTATTGATTGATTGTCTTTTTGAGACAGGGTCTCACTATGCAGTTCAGGCTGGCCTTGAGCTCAGTTTGTAGCCCAGGCTGGTCTAGAACTCGGCAATGATCCTCCTGCCTCAGCCTCCCAAGTGCTGGGATTACAGGCGTGCGCCACCACGCCCAGCTATTTTTTTTTATCTTATCAGCACATAGTATAGTAGTAGGTACATAAGAGACGAAATACAGTATTCGCTTATTCCTCTGACTCAAAAGATTTTTCAAGATATACTTTAAAACAATTTTTAACAGAAACAGAAATATGAAATTACAAAAAAAGAGCTTGCTGCTTCTCCTTTGCACAACTACCAAGCTCTGGTCCTGCTTTTTGATTATTCGAAGTCATATAGTTTGGGGGAGATGGTACATAATGGATATAATTCTTTTGTCAGCTAACACCTGTATCTTTCAGGTGTTAAGGAAACTTATCAGGGGTGCTAAGCTGCATGTCAGCCTAGCCGTTTACTTACGGTTTGCTCTCTTACAGATACTGCAGGAGAAGAGGCTGGGTACGATCCACACTCATTATGTCTGTTCCACAAACAAGTACTTCTAAAGGGAAAGTCATGCTTAAAGAGTATAGTGGACGTAAGGTTGAAGTAGAGCACATTTTTAAATGGATAACTGCTCATGCAGCCTCTCGGATCAAAACCATTTATAATGCTGAACATCTGAAAGAAGAATGGAACAAAAGTGATCAGTACTGGGTAAAAATATATCTTTTTGCAAACCTTGACCAACCGCCAGCTTTCTTCTCTGCATTAAGTATAAAATTTACTGGAAGAATTGAATTTATTTTTGTTAATGTGGAAAATTGGGACAACAAAAGTTACATGACAGATATTGGTGTATATAACATGCCATCATACATACTGAGAACTCCTGAAGGAATTTACAGATATGGAAACCACACAGGCGAATTTATATCCCTTCAGGCCTTGGATTCTTTTTTGCGCTCATTACAACCTGAAGTAAATGATCTGTTTGTTTTGAGCTTGGTTCTAGTTAACCTTATGGCTTGGATGGACTTATTTATTACTCAAGGAGCTACCATCAAACGATTTGTGGTTCTTATAAGCACTTTAGGGACATACAATTCTCTATTAATTATTTCCTGGCTGCCTGTGTTAGGGTTTTTGCAGCTCCCTTACTTAGATAGCTTTTATGAATACAGCTTAAAATTGTTAAGGTATTCCAATACAACCACACTGGCTTCGTGGGTAAGGGCAGACTGGATGTTTTATTCTTCACACCCAGCCCTGTTTCTCAGTACGTACCTTGGACATGGTTTACTAATTGACTACTTTGAGAAGAAGAGACGGCGCAGCAACAATGATGAAGTCAATGCCAATAACTTGGAGTGGTTATCAAGTCTGTGGGACTGGTACACCAGCTACCTCTTCCACCCGATCACTTCTTTTCAGAACTTCCCTGTAGAATCTGACTGGGACGAAGACCCTGACTTATTCTTGGAGCGGTTAGCTTTTCCTGACCTTTGGCTTCACCCTCTGATACCAACTGATTATATAAAAAACTTACCAATGTGGCGATTTAAGTGTCTTGGAGTCCAGTCTGAAGAGGAAATGTCAGAGGGTTCTCAAGATACTGAAAATGACTCAGACAGTGAGAACACAGACACTTCTAGCAGCGAGAAGGAAGCATTTGAAGATAAACAAAGCAGAGTTCACAATTCTCCAGGAAGAGCAAGTCACTGTGGTGCCGAGGCTTGCTCATGTGCCAATAAGTATTGTCAGACCAGCCCGTACGAAAGGAAGGGGCAGTCCTACGGATCCTATAGCACTAGTGAAGATACGGAACCTGATTGGTTAACTTGGCCTGCTGATATGCTGCACTGTACTGAATGTGTTGTTTGCCTAGAGAATTTTGAAAATGGATGTTTGCTAATGGGGTTGCCTTGCGGTCATGTGTTTCATCAGAATTGCATTGTGATGTGGTTGGCTGGGGGCCGACACTGTTGCCCTGTTTGCCGGTGGCCTTCTTACAAGAAAAAGCAGCCATATGCACACCAGCCCTTGTCAAATGATGTCCCATCTTAACCATGTGCAATTTGTCCTTTATAAGCTTTGGGTACCTTACAGCTTGCCTTTTTAATGTTAGTCACATGTTTTTGTGGTTTGAAGTTTTAGTTTAATGTTAGTGCAGTGACAGGAAATACACATTATGCTAATGTTGATGACTGAATTTATTTGGTTGCCTTGTGTGTCAGTTGAATGCATACTTAATTGTAAAAATTTTATTTACAACATTGGAAATTCAGAAGTTAATGTTTTTTGTAAGCACAAAAGAAGTATGATAGAAATTTATCCTAGCAAAACTTTACAAAGTAGGATCAAATTCTTATGGAATTGAGCTGGTTTCTTATCCTAAATGTTTCCTCCCTTTTTACAATCTCTGTCCAGCACCTCTTGGTTAAATAATGTATGCTCTGAGATATGAAATTTAAACAGACCTATGAAATAAATTATTTTAAAACCAGAAGATTACAGGTTTCCAATGTTAAATTGTTTTTGATAAGGTTGATGATTTCTATTAATTTCACAGGTAAGACAAACATAAGTTCAGACTCAGAGAAGAAACTAGAAGGTAGAAATTATGTTGTTGACACTGGCCAGAAGTAATGTTAATCTTCCTTTTACTGTGGTTACCTTTGATGGGAGAGAATTTCATGGAAAATTTTTAGTAAGTATTAAATTTATTAGTATTTAGCACATTCATTTAAATAAAATCAACTAACCTTTTAGCTACACGTAGATATCTTTGTGCTTTGCCTTTTAATTTTAAAATTTCGAAACTAGAGAAAAGTTGGAAACAATGCAGTAAACATCCATTTAATTCACCACATTGAAATTTACCTCTGCATATTTTAATCTTTCTTTTTTTAGATAAATCATTTTTCTGATCCTTTTGAAAATAGATTTGAGTCATCATGATGCTTCCCCATCACCATATTTCCTAAGGATAAGGACATTTTCTTACATAACCACTGTACCCTTATTACACCCAAGAAATTTAACACTGATTCAGTAGTATCTAATATACAACCTATACCCTTCAGTTGCTCCCAAAGTGTTCGTCTTTATATCATTTTATTTTGTTTTTATTGTGAACTCAGGTTTGTGCATTAGGTTTAGTCTCATTTTCAGAGTACTCACCATTTTCTGTTTGTAAATGTTGCTATTAATAACATTTATGAGGAGTAAAAGCCAGTTGGCTTATAGAATGCTTCACAGTCTGGATTTGTCTTATTTCTTCATAATTAGATTTAAATTAAAAAGCATTGCCTAGGTAATACTCACTTCCATTTCTATGTTGTAAGGGGGCCCGTGAGATCAGTTTGTTCCATCACTGGTGATGCTAAATTTGGTTAAAGCGAGTACCTGCCTTATCTATCCATTTTAAGATGCCTTTTCACTATAAGAGGAACCCTTAACCAACGTGAATACCCTGTTCCTCATCTCAGTGTTTTTAACATCCATTCATTATTTTTTGAATCACTTACTAATAAGAGTTGTAACATGGGGATTTTCTGGTTCCACCATTCGTTCACTTATTTGCTAGCACTTTTTTATGAAGAGCTTTCCATTTTCCACACTTTGAATATGACTGTGGACTCAGATGTTTTTTAACGTTCCATGTGTTAAAGCTCATTCTTTTGGATACTCAGATAATACCAAATTTGGCTAGTAGGAGTGCTTCTAACTCTGCTCTGATACTGTTTTGATAGATCCTTTTCAGTCTTCATGCACTTTCTCATTTTTTGATGGAAGGTGTTCAACTTTGCTTTGTATTTTCCTGTCTCAGCCTTTTAATCAAGCTTATCTTCTTTTTTTTTTTTTCAAGCTTATCTTCAAAGTATGCAAGTTTAATAGTAGACTTTAAAAATCATTATTTGACTGCCTTCCCATAAAAATAAATCCTTAATTGACTTTTCTGGTAAGAAAATGAAATTATTTCATTTTGAATTGCTTTTGGGGTACTGGCAAGCACTTCTACTGCACGGCATGTTGTGCCTTATTTTGTAATGCTAATGGAAAACATACTCTTCAACTTACATGGGGTTGTGATCCAATAAACCATCATAAATTGAAAATATGGTGAGAAATGCATTTAAGACCCCCAATCTCAGGCTGGTGGTATAGTTCAGTGGCACAGCACCTGCCTGGCAAGTGCAAGGTCCTGAGTTCAATTCCCAGTACCAAAAAAATAATACGCCCACTCTCATGTCCTAGAAACAGCACACTAGAATGTGTTGCATAGCTACAGAGATGGAGCTCACTGATGCTACCCAGTATTGGCAGAGAATGTTGTACTACATGTTGCTAGCCTAAAAAAAAAATCAGAATTAGAAGTACAATTTCTGTTAAATGTGTGTCTCTTTCAAATCATTGTAAAGCCCAAAAAAGGAAGTCAAGTTGTAAGTTGGAAACCGCAGTAAGGACCAGCAGTTACTGACTTTTATTAACACTTGAGAGCTTTTAAAATAGTAACCACAAGCCAGGTGTAGTTGTGCAGGCCTGTAATCTCAGTGCTGGGGAGGCTGAGGCAGGAGGATTGCCACATGTTCAAGGCCAGGTTTGGCTACATAGTTCAAACCTAGTCTGAACCACAGAGTGAGACCCTTCTCAAAAAAAAAAAAAAAAAAGTAACTGTAAGCCGTACTCCTCATGTTCTGATTCTCCTTTTGAAAAAAGAGCCACTTTTTTTTTGTTTTGAGACAGAGCTGCTATGTAGTTCAGGCTAGTCTTGAGCTCATTAGGTAGCCTAGGCTGGCCTTAAGCTGGGTTCTGCCCTTGGTTCACTGCTCTTTTCTCACATTTTCAACAGTGACCCAAATCCACACTTCTAGCAAAGGCCCTATAGTTTTATATGCAGCTATTTGCTGGATAGCTCCTCTGGGCTGCTTTTTAAGTATCACAAGTTTTTCATTCTGTCTCCGCACCCCATCTTAAGGTCCTAAGTTCAGTCAATGAGGGAGAAATGCATAATTCATCATGAAATGTACACAAAAGTACAGAAATACTAAGGACAATTAACCTTTCTAAAACATCCCAGGGCACACCACAATTTGGAGACTTAGCTGGGTGGGAGACAAACCCATTTTAGCACTGGCTGTCCAGGCCCTTCATAGCCTGTTCCTGTTTACCTCCTACACTCGCCATATCACCCCAACCTGCTTGTCACTCCAGGACCATGTTCTGGTTTTTCTCCATTTGGTGCTTTGCTCTTTCTACCTGGTGGTATTGCCCCTTCTGCTCTGCTTTGCCTGGCTACATGGAACTTTCTCCCTAAATTCTGCACCCTGCTACCCATCCTCTCCTTCACCAGGCTTACAAAGGGACAAAGGTATTTACATACTAGACATTCACATGCTTCTCCAAAGTGATCAAACAGCATTACCAACAGTGGATCACACATGGATGTCCTTCTGAGTCCCACTGGTACCTTGTACGTACCTGTCATACTTGGAGCATCGAATTGAAACTACATGTGTCATTTTAAAACACAATAGAAATTGTGCTTTATTCATCTCACTAGAGTGCGTGGCATAAAATGGGAAATTGCCAGATTCAGATCTTTAGGTGCGCTTACCTCATCCCTTAACTTTTAAGCACAACAAATAATGCTTTTGTCAGATTTCCTGGAGGTGTAGAACTGAAGGAAAAACTCAAGGTTGACAAGCTCCCAGCTTCGTGCTTGAAAAGAAAGTTTAATTTCTTAGACTAACCTGTTGGGTTTCATGAATCATAGATCCCAAGTATGTGGGCTTTGTAGTTACTGAACTCTGTGGTTAACTGGAATGGCAATGCTCTGTTGAAGAGTTTTTCTTTTCTTGTATGAATCATTTCATGCTCTGGATGATAAGCCCCCCGAGGTCAGGAATAATGCTATAATTTACTCATTTTTAACATTATAGATCCAGTATAGATGCTCATTAAATGTTGATCTGAATTTTAAGAGTATATTTTAATTTTGTCTCCATTTTATCCAACATTTTATTACCTATCTGATGTAGGTGGAACAGATAAAGCAAGAGATTATATTTTTACTACTTAGTAGTACCATTAGTGACAAAGATACCAATATTTATGGTCAGCTCCAAGATAAAGATATTAATTTATTTCCCCATACATACTTCTTTTCATCTATTCCTTAGATTATTTGGGAGCCTCCAGATTATTATTATGATCTTTTTCCTTGCTGTCCTGTGTTTTTGCACTTGGCCATTTTATTACTCCTTAAAACTCTACCAAAGGGCTATTATGTACACAAAGGTGAAACATTGGGTCCTCCTCCTACTGGACCTGATTAAAACTTTAGATAGTACTGAAATTTAATTGTTAAAATAATATTTTGAGCCATCTGTTTTAATCATTCTTTTCTCGTTCTTTTGATAGCAGTACTTCTTATTGATCTATGATCATTTTGGGTAATCTGTAACATTTTACCAGCTTCTGATGAAAAATTTTATTGTTTCAGTAGACCATTTCTTTTCATAAAAAATATCAGTTGGAATCCAAGCAATCTTGACTTAATAGATGATCAAGAACTCAAGACAATTGGGATAATAAGATGTGACTAAGACACAGCTTTCCAATTTCTGTGTCTTCAGAACCCAGAGAAAAAATTCAAGTAGGAAGTAACTTTATTTTTTTTTTCCAGTGCTGGGAATTGAACTCACGACCTCGCGCTTGCCAGGAAGGCGCTGTGCCACTGAGCTAAATCCCCAGCCCCTCCCCCATTAAGTTTAAAAGATATGTCAGCCCATCCAAGTTGGCTGTGGCCTCTTTGTAACCTCCAGATACGATCCTATCAGAGCTTTTTCTATCGTATTTTTACTCTCAGAAATGAATGCATTTATGGAAGAGACAACTAAAGGAACCTGCCCTTTCTTTCCTCAAGCATCCGTTATGCTGGTGCAAAAGTGCATACTTGATACTGTCAATTTCTCTTAGATTATGTGCATGATGGGATAATAGGCTTTTTATGTGTGATGTTAAATAATGATACTTGAATACTTTCACTTTTTACCCCCAGTGCTAGGGCCTGAACCCAGGGCTTTGCTTATACTAGACAACTGCTCTACTACTGAGCTACACTGCCAACCCTTGGATACACTTGTTTACTCTATTTTAAAACACACTCTTAGTATTGACATGGCGGATACCTTACTAAATTTATAACATTTATCTAATAATGAAGAACAAAAGTAAGCTTAAAATAGAAACCCAAAGAGATGTCAAAGTTGGGCACTCACATGTTTTCTTATTCATGGAGCATCTGTGAGGCAGATGAAAAGACACTCAGATGCTCTGTCAAAAACTTACTTTTACTATGCATAGAACTTGAATGAGCTTGGCTATTAACTTCCCAGTCTCTACAGTAAAAACTGCATGTATGGAAGCTATGGAATAGTGGAGAAGTCTGCTAGAGGAAGGTCAGCCAAAGAAAGGAGGTGTTCCTTCTATCCTTACAAGAAAACTAGAGAATTGACGCCTTCACCCTCATGGAGCCATGGATGCCGTTAGCTCTAGACTTAAGAGGATGTCACTAATTTTAACAAAAGGAAAAGTTTTTACTTCCTGGAAAACTAATTTTGTGGACATTATGTTAGGAGAGAAATCTTGCTCCATGACTTTCTTATAAAAGGTTAATGCCCAGCAGTCTCACCAGTTTTGGCATAAACCATGAGATCAATAGTATGATATAAAAATGACTTACACACAGCATATTTTTAGTCAGTGTCACTAATGTTACAAAATTCTACAAGCTCTTTTGTGTTTTAAGAATTCCAACTATGTGTTGATGATGGAAGGTCTGGTGACATATTGCCACACATAAATTATTTGGAATTTTTGTGAAGACCTTTCACAGAGACAAAGTAGTACGGTTTCAGACAGCAAAGAAATGAAAATGCTGGTATTTTCAGGGTGGTTGGTTTTCATCACTGAAGTCCTCTGTCTTTATTTTTACTTAATTCTGAGCCAAGTGGCTGAGCAGCAGGTTTCTGGAACAAAAATACCTCAAGCTGACTCTCAGCTTTGTTGCCAGAGAGTTTTTGTTTTGGTTTGGTTTTTGGTTTTTGTTTTGAGACAGAGTCTCACAGTGTAGTCCAGGCTGGCCTCACACTCAGTGATCCTCCTGCCTCAGCCTCCCAAGTTCTGGGATTACAGGCATGTGCCACCACGTTTGGCACATTGTCAGAGTGTTGAGTAAGACATATATTTCACA